TATGTAATTTATATTGCAAAACAAAATCTTTTAATTTTTTTTTTAAATTTTGGTTACATCTATTATCTTATTTCATTCACATGTCATGTGATTAAAATTTATAATTTTTTATTTTTAATAAAAAAATAATCATTAAATTATTTAAATTATTAAAAAATTCTCTAAAAATTAACGAGAAAAAAGATGCCACGTAAAAGAGGATGTGTGGAGCTGTCGGCCACAGAGAGGACAAATCAAACTGAGGAGGGACTCGTATTGAACTTGCTTGGCTGTTGGAAACTTTTTCTTTGTGTATATAAATATATGGTTCAAGTACAACTCACGCCTTCCATAACTGTGCACTGAAAAGAATGTCGCTCTCTTCCTCCACCTCCATAGACAGCAGCAGCAAACACCAGCCTCCTCCTCCTCCGCCTTCCCTCTCCTCCTCCGCCGCCTCCTCTTCCTCCTCCGCTTCTCATCGTGAATGTCCGACTAGACGAGATTTGAGCACCGATCTCCGCCTCGGTCTCAGCATTTCGCCTTCCCACAACGACCTCTCTTCCACTTTGACTCAATGGTTTGTCTAATCGCCTGCCGTTTCCTTTTTGTTTTTTACTTTACCGTCTTCTCAGATTTACGATGTTCGTTGTTATCTTAGGGAGCAAAAGTTAGACTGGCCGCCGATCAAGCCACAGCTATGGAGCACACTGGCGTCTAAATCAGAGAGTCGCCGCCGTGCTTCGTTATTCGTCAAAGTTTACATGGAAGGAATTCCGATCGGAAGAAAATTAGATCTGTTCGCTCACGACGATTACAATGCTCTGATTTCAACTCTTGGCGACATGTTTAAAGCCACTATTCTCCGTAAGCACACAATTGAAATCGCATAATTAATTACCGAATTCCTCAAATCACGTTTCCTAACTTTTCAATTTTGAAATTCAAAAATTGATCGGAAACGAACAAACAGGGCCTGGTGAGGCGGTTCACTATCATTCTGAGAAGAATCATCATCATGTACTAACTTACGAAGACAAAGAAGGAGACTGGATGATGGTTGGAGATGTACCTTGGGAGTAAGCATAATTAATTTCTCTTCACAGAAAATGATTTCTCAAAAGTAAATTATACTTACAAGTAATGTTTAAGAAGTCATTTTCTCGTGAACCAAACACCAGACAAATTAATAATCTCTAATTACTTTCTTGATTCCATTTTTTTCTAACAATGAATTTTGTTTGGCTGATAGGATGTTCCTGAACACGGTGAAGAGGCTGAAGATTACAAGAGCAGATAGATGCTAATTAAGAAACCTTGGTTCATATTTTTTATCCCCCTGAATACAGTTTTGTTTATTATATAGATATGGATGTACAGTGTATACAATTCAAGAGATAAATATTTTCTCTTTTTTTTTTTTTCTTTTTAATTTCTGAATTATTTGTGGGTTTTTTAAGAGAAAATAAATTAGATGAGTGAAAACCAACGAGGGGTTGGATTAAATAGTAAGCGGCTTGTTCCAGCTTAAGCAAGATCTCGAGTTCGAGTCCTTGTGTATGCAGCAGCCCCCGCTGGGAGACTCACCCACCATTTTTAGGTGCGCGACGCGGGTCGGGTCCGAATTAGTCGAGGCGAAGCCTCGGATACCGGGCGAGAAACCAAAAAAATTAGATGAGTGAACGTAAAGAAAACAGAGGAAGGTAATGGGATATGGTTGTGGGGTTTTATGAAGCGTGGGATTGTCATGTCAGGAGAGGATTGTAGATCTAATCTTTATGATGACATGCAACATTTAGGTATGACTTGATGATGAAGACAATTAACGTTTTGTGCACGAATGGGGGGAGGTTCTCATTAACTAATTTATGTTCTTTTGTGTTCCAACTTTGAAGGGACAAAACTAAAAGCAAGATTGAATTCGGTTTTCTACTTTGCCAGAGGCAAGGAATTTTAATTTCAAATTAAAGTTTTAAGTTCTTTTTTTTTTTCTTTTAAAAAGTTTTAGTGGTCCAAATGACTACCTAATATGTTATAAAGGATTGTCTCATATTATGATGTGGGGTTTGAATCCCACCCCTCCGATCTCCTTTCTCCTAATTTTTTGTGCTAAAAAGATATTAAATTTTTGTTGGTATTTAGTGACATTGTAGGTAACTAGGTATACTAACATGCTTCTCTTTTCCCCTAATTCTCTGGGTTTTAAAAAAAAAATTGTTAAATTTTTGTTGGTATTTAGTGACATTGTACATATACGAACATGCTTCTTCGCTATTAATTGTTACAATCTCCATCATAGCAAACCTTGTATATAAAAAACTCTGAACAGGAATATGTGATGCAATACTTTGATTTTAGTTAAAGAACAATACATATGCACACAGCAAAAACAAGTTGTTGTAGAACTCCTATGTATACTTGGACTAGGACTTCTATGTGCAAATAGATTGAAAGGAAAAATAAAAAATACAAATAATTAATTCTAAGGTTTAGTTACTTTAATAATATATGCCCGCATGAGAACTCTAAATTTTAGTACTCTCAATTCCTCGAGAACTTTATAAACCCATCTTGATTGGGAATTAAAGAAAATATATTATTTTCTTATACGAAGAGATAAAAATTAAAATTTAAACTTGTAATTAATAGTATATATAACTCTATCGCCAAACTACATAGTTGATGATAAAAAATATAGTATTGGTTTAGACAGGCTTAATTCAATTTTTAGTCTATTAACTATCACCTTGATTTCATTTTAGTCTAGAAACTATATTTTATTTCTAAGTGGTCTATTAACTTTCAGATTCATTTCAATTTCATCTACCTGGTTATCTTTTGACGGAAAACTTATTATTCTGTTAGAGAACAGTTAGTCCTCTAACTATATTTATTTTAATCTTTTAGTCCTCAAATTTATATTTACTGTAAAAACAACTTTTATACTTAAAATTATTATTTCTAGGCTCTGATACCAAATTTTTATTCAGGTTTTCAGAACTTAACTCAGACTACTACTAACTAATGAATAGCTGATATGTTAAGCTTAGTTAGTGTGGAATTAGATCTACTAGACTACTAACAAAAATAATCACTTTCTAGTTGTGTCTAGATCTTATAAAATTTTTTATCTATATCACTTTCTAGTTGTAGAATTATTTTATTATATATTTTTACGATTCGATTGCAAATTTTTCAACGATTGCTTTTAATGTCTTTAATAGACCTTATTTCTTCTTTTATTTCTTTCAATTTTCTCGAGTTTTTAACATTATTTATTCTTTCTTTAATAGAATCAAATTCTTGAGAAATAGATTTTCTCATTTCTTTAATTCTTCTTAGGGTATTTTCATTAATTGTTTCTATTTTTAAAATATTATCAGTTATTCATTAGTTAATAGTAGTCTAAATTAAGTTTTGAAAACCCGAATAAAAATATGGTATCAGAGCATAGAAATAATAATTTTAAGTATAAAAGCTGTTTTTACAATAAATATAAATTTGAGGACTAAAAGATCAAAACAAATATAGTTAGAGGACTAACTGTTCTCTAACAGAATAGTAAGTTTTCCGTCAAAGATAACCACGCAGACGAAATTGAAATAAATCGAAAGTTAATAGACCACTTAGAAATAAAATATAGTTTTTAGACTAAAATGAAATCAAGGTGATAGTTAATAGACTAAAAATTGAATTAACCCGTTTAGACATCAAGAAGTCTTCTAGCTAGATCATAGTTGTCTCATTGTTTTTTTCATGCATTTTATTACATACCATACACTTGGAGATATAACTCTATTCTCTCCCTTGTCTCTATGATTTATTTTTAGTTCAAAATCCCTCTTTACTAATGATTTGCTAGAATCAAGGATTTATTGGTAGATCTGTTTTGTCCAAAATGATATGTGAATGAACTAGCCAGGGTTATGAACTTATATTAAAACTGATACCTTAACCTAGAAATATCTGCTTCCATCCTTAGGACATAAGAGTTTTGATAATATCATAACCAAAAACACCATGAGAACTTAGATGATATGTCAATAACTTAAGTGATTCAGTGATAATTTCTTTGTAATGAAAGTAAAAAATCATGAATTTGAGTCATAAAAAATAGGAGAGGTTACTTATTATTGCACAATTTCAAATAATAATAATAATAATAATAGTAAACTTGGTTGAATAATATAAACCCAAACCAAGTTTTTTTTTTTCTTTTTTACTATGTAGAGACTAGAAGTTAAATTCAAAATCTATAATTAAGAGCACATGTAATCTACCACCAAACCACATGGTTGATGGTCCCAAACCAATTTAATTAACCATAACAGAATTCTTAATAATAATAAAATAAAAAAAACTTGGTTGAATAATATAAACCCAAACCAAGTTTTTTCTTTTCTTTTCTTTCTTTTTTACTATGTAGAGACTAGAAGTTAAATTCAAAATCTATAATTAAGAGCACATGTAATCTACCACCAAACCACATGGCTGATGGTCCCAAACCAATTTAATTAACCATAATAGAATTCTTCTGATTTAAAAAAAAAAAAAAGAAAAAAAGAAAAAAAGAAAAAAAAAAGAGAAATTAACCATTTAACCATACAGACATGCTGAGCGTGGTATTATTACTGGGCCTAAAAACACCCATTGTTTCCCCTATCTAGAAAGCCCAAGAACCGTAGCCCACTAGAAGAAGAAGTCCAACTGAGATTTTCTTATTTTACAAAGTCTTTTTAAGGATTAAAAAAAAAAAAAGAGGGATTTTTCAGTTTTGATTTTGCCTTCCTTCTCTCTTACAATACAAATACAATCCTACAAAATTTCAGCGCAATTTAAATTAGGGAGGGAAACCCGAACTGTGATTCCGACGGACGTTAAACGGTTAAAGCTCCGACGAACGATATGAAAGCTCCGGCATCTGCTTCATTGAAAGCTCCGGTCAAATTCAGGATGTAAGCGATCTTCCTCTTCTTCCCCCTCTCTTCTCTTTCGTTTCAATCCATTACTAGTGTTGAAATTGACACGAGAGAAATTGAGATTCGAAGGCCAACGTCGGAGAATTTGGTTCCGATCCGATTGGATATCGAAATCGACGGGCAGCGGTACAAAGATGCTTTCACTTGGAACCCTAATGGTAATTTTTCTTCTTTAATTTAATTCCAATTCCATCATTGTTTCTACCGTCTTAATTTTTTCATGAATCTAATAATGGAACTGTAAAAGTAGATCCGGATTCAGAGGTGCAGCCGTTTGCCAAAAGAACTGTGAAGGAATTGAAGCTGCCTTCTGGTTTCGGTGGGCAAATTCAACAATCCATTCAGGTAAATTATATAAATAATATTTCTTCATTTTTCATGATTTCATCTGGGAAATTCATTTTGTTTTCTCTCAAAAAAGGTGAGACCTTTGCACAGCCCTAAAGGTATAACGAAGAAGTAAGAAAGGAGTGTAATTTATTTATCTATCTTAGAAATAAAAAAGTGTAATTTCAACCTAATGGAGACGAAAGGAAATATCTTGCATGTGAAGTATTTCCATTAGAATCTTTACAGTGTCATATCAATATAGTGTTCACTTTCCGCATGCTTTATCAGTCACAGCTTGCTGATTTCCGCTCGTATGAAGGGCAGGATATGTACAACGGCGAGAAGATTGTTCCAATTAAGGTTTGTGTTGAATGGAATTTAGTTTTCCTTTTTGTGTTGTTGCTGCTTATTTCATGCTTGAGCAGTTGAGCATCCTCTTGTGACATATTTATGAATGGTTTCTTATTTTTGTCAGCTTGATCTTCGTGTGAATCATACGGTAATCAGGGATCAGTTTTTATGGGTAAGAATCAACAATGAGTTTTGCATCCATTGCTGCTAATAACTTGATAGTGTTTTTGGTGTTTAGTTGTTTACTGATCATTGTTTCATGCTTTTAGCTTATGTGCACTCTGTTTACTTGCTTTCATGCTGGAATGTGGCTAGAAATCTATATGGTGTAATTTAATGTGTTTCAGGACTTGAACAACTTTGAAAGTGACCCTGAGGAATTTGCTAGAACTCTCTGCAAAGATTTGTGTATTGAAGACCCTGAAGTTGGGGTGAGGAAAGCATTTTAAGATTTGATGTTTCTAACTTTTCACCTAAAGAAGATAATTACTAAATAAATAAGAAGCACATTCTACAGTTTTGTAATGCCCTAGCTACTTTTTTATGTAATCAATCCTATCAGACTGTAAAATCACAAAAACAGAAACTGAAAACGAAAGGAAAATACTGGATATTTTTCCAATCACTTCTACTATGGTCCTTTCTCTTTATGAATCTTCCATCTTATCTCTTTTCCAATCTTTTTGGATTCTCTAGAACATACCGATACCTAAATTAACTTTCACTTTGTTCTTTGCAGCCCGCAATTGCCGTTGCAATTAGGGAACAACTGTATGAGGTAGCAGTCTTATACTGTTTTCTTCCTTTAATCTTCATCAACAGCATTTTAGGCCTCTTGGCTTATTTCTCTATTTTTCAAATGTGTCTTGGTATAGGTTGCAGTTCAAAATGTAGCTTCAGCAAGAGAGAACAGACTAAGCAAGAAAGGTCGCAGGGGTTCTGAACATTTCCCAGCCAGGTTTATTTCCACCTCTTTATTTCCCTTGCTTTTGATCTAAATGGAGTTTTATTATCTCAAGGAGCAGGTTCAGTTTAACCAATCTCAAAAGGTCATATTTATACGTATGTAGCTGACCTCACTACACATTTGACCTCTTGCAGTAAAGTAAGTGGTGCTGCACTGGACTTGATGAAGTTATTCAATTTCAGATCCAGTGTCATTAGGTAAGCTAAATTTAATGGGGAAATACATTTTTGTTGACTCTGGAAATTATATAGATAGCATTATTACAAGTCTAGAGTTTGTTGTTCCTGGATTGTTTTGTAAATGACATGATGGCTGTATATTGGTATCTTTTGGTTCATTTTGATTCCTTTGTTTGTTCATTTTGATTCATTTGTCTATCAATTGAAAATATCGTAATTGTGTTTTGTGAGAAACTTAAAGCGGTCTCCCTGTGCTTGTGATGCGCAGGAAAAGAAAGGATTGGGATTATTATAAGCCAGTTCTTGACCTTCTGTCGAACGAGGATGTCGATGTCCTTGAAGCAAGGGAGGAGAGGAGTGGCCGATAAAATAACATACAATTGAGGCCTACTTGTGACTCATGCACTCCTTGTTCCATGTTTTCTTGTTTAGATCTCAGTAGTAGTTGTTAGGGGATGTTTACTAATTGTAAGTAAGAGATGGAAAGAAGCTTTAAGAACAAGTGGATTATGGTAGTGTATCTTAAATTCTTAATTCATGCTGTATGGGATTTTCATCTTTCTTTACTTTCCAGCAGCATATATAAACTCTTGGTCTTGGAACAGAACATGAACATGACGGTTTCTTCAACCGTCATGTCCAGTGGGCCTGTACCAAACTCTGCTTGGAAACTTGAATTGGGCGGAAGCCCATTCTATCAAGGCCAAACCCAACATTAAAATCCCGAACTTATCTTAGAGTCTCGGTTAATCTTATAAACTTCTATTGAAGGAAATAAGTTTTGGAACTTTATGATTTAAGCAATTTAACCTTTCTTTTTTATGGTGGACTTAACATTTGTTTGTGCATTACTTGTATGCACAAGGCATTGAATGAAGATGTTTTGGGTTTGAGAAAGTAATTTAATCTATATGGGGCTGCAAAATATTGACCTTGGATGGAGGGATGAATCACTCTGTATTTAAAGAGCTCATTTTTCATCAATGGTTATAAAATATATAGTTTACATATAATATACTTTGAGCTAAAGTAGAAATACTCCTACCATATTAATGAAGAATATTTTAATACTTTTAAAATTAATTTTTATATAATCAAACAGTTAAAAAACACTCCTATATAAAAGAAAGAAAAAGGAAACATAGCTATGACATATCATCCATGTTATTTTATTTTTTTCCCAGTACTTGGATACATGTCAATGTTTGTTTTGTTTGAGAGATAACACAAAAAGTTGATTATATTTTCTTAAAAAATGAAGAGAAAGGACTATATCAAGCATTTTTTTTTTAACCCACAATCTTAAGACCTTTTTCCTTTTTTTTTTCCCACAACATCATTGTTCAACTTTCACGTACCATATCACGCTTATCAGCTTTGTGTCTTTTGGAAAACATACTATTCATGCAGACTTGAAACTATATAAAAAAATTAACTCATTGTTAATCTCCCCATAAAAAGAAAAAAAAATCAAAGTTTAATCAGCTTTACCAAGCTACCATCCTCTGTTGGCATATGCTATCTATCTCATAACAATAATTATTTTTTAATTTTTTTTTTTGAACAAAGTGTCATGGGTGAGATTCGAATTTCGAACCCACCAGGGAGAGAGGAGACTACACTTTCAAGCTGGCCCGAAAGGTCAGGTTTTTAATTTTATTTTTAAATTAAATAATTTAAATAAATTATATTTTGCTTATATTACTCTTCAAAACTGATAGGATATGAGAGATTTTTTATAATAGGATAGGTAATTAAAATCAAGAGAGAAAAGTGTAAAAATGAAAAAATAAATATTTATTTCTCTTAAAATATTAAAAAAATATTTATCTAACATGAAAAAAGACTATTAATCTGGGAAAAATTCAAAATTAAAAACTATTTATTATTCTAAGGCAATGAAAGCAAACAACTAATTTAAATACTTTTTGAGTTGTTATATTAAAAAAAGTATTGTACAATTTAAATTATATTGAATTATACAACTTAAACAATTAAATGGACAGTAAGCTTCATAATTTTAAAAATTATCCCTTATTCAATAATTATGTACTTAACTACAAAATAAAAAGCTCTTACTATATATATATATATATATATATAAGATAATTGTTTTACAATTTATCCTACAATCTCCCAAATTAAGGACAAGCCTCCTAGCATTGAAGATCATCCCTAAATCAAGGTCTGCCCCCCTCATTCCTCTGTTAGCCTCCCAATAAGGATTTTGTCTACTATATTCCCGGGATGTAGCAGACATGGTATCCCAATTTAATGAAAAAACACCACATCAATTTTCTTTTGTTCGTATATTTACATCATAAATTGCAAGACTTAAAATTATGCCACATGTCAATTTATTTTAAATAGTTGAAAAATATTAAGACATTTTAGATATGATTAAAAAAGAAGAAGAAGAAGAAAGGAGGACGTTGAAAAGATGAGATTTATCCTTTAGTTGCTCATTTGAATCATGGTAGAATTGCTTCAGTTGGTTTTTAGGAGTTTGTTTCAGTTAAGGCTATGAGCTGGCAGATAATAAAGATAGATGACGAAATCTAAACGGAGATTTAGCTCAATCAACTGCTAAGGTGTCCATCTTCTTTAGGAAACCACCTATGGTTGTGTAACCACCTGATAATGGGGAATTGTAGGTGGGGAGGAGAAAAACAAAAGGAAATTTTCTAATCATTCAACACACTGCCAACCCTACACACAACTCATCAAATTTTCAATTTTATAGTTTCATAGCGATTGCTCACTTTACCTTATAGATTTTGGTTTTCAACACAGTTTCCAATAGATTTAGGTTGATTTCAGCATTCAAATAGCCAAATTAGTTCGTATTGTTGCTTCTACAATTTCCTTTCGTATAATGAATATCAAACTTTTCAATTTTTGCGAGGTACCATTCTTTTTCTAGTTGGTATTAATTTAATATTTACGATAAGTAACGTCTCTCCAAATCATTACTTATATAGCGTTTACACTTTTTCTTAATTTTTAGCATGTTAGTTTAATCTCTTTTCATATTAGGTTCATGATTATTTAGGATTAAATCTCAAGTTCTGCAATATTTTGATTTTTAGATCTATCTGTGTATAATGGTTTAATTTGATAATGAATAAGTTTAGTTTAACTTAAATGCATCTTTTATTTGCAAGTTCACTTTAATTTGCACATTATTTAGTTCATTTAGGATTTGTTGATTTTAATTCACGATAGGGTTTAAATCCTTAGAATTGTTCAACGCAGATTTAGTAACTCATTCTGCAGGAAAGCATCTCTTCTTCTTGCAGATCATTTGAAGGCACACATTTCATTTTAAATCAATGTTCTTTCAACCATCCGCAAGAAAGTTGACTACAAGGAAAAAGATGATCGTTGAGAAAATTCTCCTTTTTACTTTACATCAAAACAAGTGGTACATCCGCATTCGAATTTGTCTTGTGCAAAGTTACTTCGTGATTTTTTTAAGGAAACATCGTGATTGATGAAGTGTAAAAAAAAAAGTTATTATTGTATATTTAAGTTAGGTTTCAATACCACATCTGCGGTGTCCCAGCAAACTTTCTCCCTAACGAGGGGGATTACCCAAAGAAGTTAATTTCGTTCCGTATCGGTCGATACGGTCAGTATGTATCGATTTTTAAGTAAACCGAAATGGTATAATATTAATTTTCGTTTTGGTCAAAATTCAATCATTTCGGTCAAAATTCGATGTACCGGCCAAAATTTTGATGAACCAATTGGTTCACCAAAATTTTGGCCAGTACACACTGGCAAATTAAAAAAAAAAAAAAAAGGATTCTCTGGCCCAAAACGACATCGTTTTGGGCTAGGGGCTTCTTGCAATTGCAATTTTTGGTAAAAAAAAATCGTCCATACAACTCAATTCAAATTTAAAAAGAGTAAATTTTATTTTTGGTCCTTAACTTTAATGTTTTACATAATTTTCATCATTTAACTTTTTAATGTACTTTTTTAGTCCATTCTTCATTTTTTTTAATCATTCTATCAATTATTTTGTTAAATTTGTTTAAATATACACATTTTTAGTCCCTTAATTTAAAGTGAATGGAAGAAAAATATGCATATATTAGAAGTTGAGGGATTAAAAATGATTATTTTAAACTTGTTTTCAATTTATAGAAATATGATGGTTTTAAATATTAGTATCTCTTATCTTATTTTAAAGTTTGATATTTAATCTATAAAAATATATATTTATAGTGATAAATTCAAAACGGTATGCGAAAAATTTTGATATCCGATACGTACCGTTCCAATAACAAAATCGATACGCATACCGATACAGTATTGACTCCTTTGGGATCACCCCTCTATCAAAGTGTGCCCTCATCAATACTTACGAGTGTCACTTTCTACTTATTCCCACCCAACCTCAAAATAAGTAAAGAAGAGGCATTCCCCCTATTGTGATCCATTGATGGTCACTGCAACCCAACAGAACTGTTGGTAGATTGCACCCCTCACCAATGATCGAATCTTACCAAAAGTAAAGTACTAACCTAATTTCTAACTTTTAATTTCTAACCATTATGCTTCTTTTTTCTTTTTCTTTTTTTTTTGAGTAAAATTAAAGCCTACTAAAAATTAAATTTACAGTTGAATCTCTCCGTGGGTTAAATTTCAATGGATCACTCACGGGGATTCCCATAATTTAACAAAGTCTTAATTAATTAAGACTCCAGAAATTACAAACTTCATCTGCCACCATCACTGAAACACCAGATGGGCATCTTAACACCCCCCTCCCCGCCCCAACAAAAAGCCAAAAACAAAAAAAAAAAGAAAGAAAGAAAAGAAACATCTGCCATGGATTTTTTTCTTGATTCTAGTCTTGCTGCCACATCCCAGTACTTGAGCCTCCATGTAGCAAGCAAATATCTAAACTTGGCACATCATATCTACAGACCCATTATCCAGAATTCAATGCCCTGATGTACCTTAATTAGCCACGATCATGAGGTCATGTTGCAGGGTGTGGACCTGGATTTGTCAAGAATCGACCACATCACTTGCACATCCTCATACCCACATGCCATCACCTCCCCATGCAGATCCATCACTCTCTTCTCATGTTCTGCATTCACATACGTATATACATGACATCAATTTTAACTGTTTGTTCTCTTAACCCACAACGTGATTTGTCGGTGTTCGATGAAATGCCTCAAAGAGAGGAAAAATGTTAAAAAACACACATACCTTGCTGGGATGATTTCTTATCCCTGGGTTGTTGATTGAAAAAGGTACAAGCTTTTCTAAAAGGAGTGGTAATAGTCTTTTTCCAAGAAGCCATAAACAAGATCTATGTTTAGAACTTAGAAAGCGTATAAGAATTGCTCTTTCTGGGTTTGACTCTGTGCAGGGGAGGGGGCATATATAGGAGGGAGAGGTTCATGGGAAAGAGAGACAAACAAAGGGCAAGATCCGTGATATGAGCTTAGAGGAACATAACTCTTTTTTTTTTTTTTCAATTTTCATTTTTGTTTGGAGGTTCTCTTAACGCAAAGCAATTCACACCGACTGCAGGGAAGCACATGGTGCACGCTCCCAAACACAGCCCTACACGTGATTGCCTTTGCTTTTCTGAACGTGACGTCTAAAACACTTTGTTTAGGATAATGTTGTGTCGATATAAAGAAAAAGGCTTGAATACTACTTTACCATCAAACTAATCATATGTCTGATTGCATTAATATATATACTCTTGTCTGTTTTCGGTTATGGTTACTGGTCTTTCCTCTCCATAGGGAAATATATTTACTCTACGAACCATATGGGAACATATTATCCATTCAAGATTCAGCCTTGGTTTTCGCATTACTTCCATACATGTCATGTCTAATTCACATGTCTCGTTGGAATTTTGAAAGTGATAAATGGAGTAAGATTGCCATAAAAAATGATATAGTTATAATTACAGCACATAATATTATAAATTTGTAATTATAATGTGTTATTAAATGATTGATTTTTTTATTTAAAAGTTTATTTATGATGTTATATATATTAATTTATTTAATAATATATTATGATTATAAATTTAAAATCTTATATGGTATTATAATTATAAATCATTAATTATCGGGCCTACCATGATATTGTAATTGACTCGTTGTTGGGTCCTATATAAGTGCCTTTTTTTGGTCGTAATTCTAGCATTTTTTTTACAAAAATTGAAGAGAGTGATACATTTTTATGATTAAATTAATGTCTTGTTTTACTGAAATGGCATGGATTAAAATTGATTGCAATCAAGAGAATGTGTTTAGTTAGGTAAAAAGGGTCTTACTCTGGTATGACCTAAGAAAACTACCAAAACTCATCTGAGTTCTGAATTCTGACAAAGATAATTAAGGTGAGGTTTATAAGAGCTAGTTTAATCAAAGGAATGTGTTGTGTTTAATTCATAATATAATTAGCAAAGCAATTAATGCTTGAAAATAAAATTTCTTAATGTAGTACTTACTCCACTTTAATTATAAATAATAGTGGAGTCAAGTTCAATCGCAAGTTTGACATTGATTTAGATCCACTTTAAATAATTTACTTAGTAAGACTTTCGCAATATGATATATGTTTATGTTCC